GCTGTGGTGGAGACTGGAGCAGCAACTCCCACCGCTGAGATGCCGGCAGACCAAAGGACGAGGTTGGAAGCTTTAAAACTGAAGGATCTTAAAGCTAAAAACTACCTCTTTCAATCAATCGAACGGGCTATTTTAGAGACCATTCCTTGCAAGGAAACCTCCAAAGATATTTGGGAGTCCATGAAGAAGAAATGCCAGGAAAATGCGAAGACAAAGAAGTTGCAACTTCAAGCTCTTCGCTCGGAGTATGAATTACTTCGAATGAAGGATGGTGAAAAGTTTGCAGAGTATTACTCAAGGACTATGACAATAGTCAACAAGATGCGGTGTTACGGTGAAGAGTTACAAGATGGAACCGTTGTTCAAAAGATACTACGGTCAATGACGGCAAAATACAACTATGTTGTATGTTCGATTGAAGAGGCGAATGACACTGATGAAATGTCACTTGATGATTTGGAAAGCTCTGTACTGGCTCATGAAAAGAAGCTGATTTCACAGGACAATGAAAGTGAGCAGGCTTTGAAGGCCTCTGTAAATCACCATTCCTCATCAGGAAACAGAGGTGGTCGGGGCAGAGGTCGTGGGAGAGGAAGAGGAAGCAACCACCAAAGCCAAAATCAGCCCAATCAGTTCCAAGGAAGAGGAGGAGAACGAGGAGGTCACCACTCAACAACCCATAAATCAAGGTCAGTAGACAAATCAAATGTTGAGTGCTTCCGTTGCCACAAGTATGGTCACTACCGGAATGAGTGTTACACTAATTTGAAGGGGCAAAATGAAGAAAAAACTCATTTTGCTGAAAAGGAAGAAGAGATATCACTGTTGATGGCTTGCAGCATTACCGAACCAGCTCAAAAGAACGAGTGGTATTTGGATTCTGGGTGCAGCAACCATATGTGTGGAGATAAGAATGTTTTTACCACTCTTGACGAGTCATTTCGCAACACTGTCAAGTTTGGTGATAACTCTACTGTTTCAGTTATGGGAAAGGGAACAGTCAGTCACCAAGCCAAAGATAACTCCACCCACATCATCTCGGATGTTCTTTTTGTTCCAGATTTGAAGGCCAATCTGCTCAGT